ATCATCATATCTCCCACCTTAACTCAGACTATCACTCATCAGAGCTGTGTTACAGTCAACTACAGTAGCAGATAAAATACAAACAAAAATCCCAGTGTCATGTTTCAGGTTTTTACAGAGAGCCATAAAAGACACCTTGTTAAGGAAAATGCATTAAGAACTAAAAGCTAGCGGATCACAAGCTAACCCAGAGGTGGAGCAGGACTCCGGCTCTACAATGGCTTTAGTTTCTTCACAGTGACTCCACATCAGGAAAAAAAAAGCAAACAGGCTTTTTTTTTTTGTCCTTTAACAGTTTGCGTGCTATATTTTCCAAAAATTACAACCCCAAAATCAAGTACTTGATAAAATGGTATTTTCTTTGACTCTATTTTTCAAAATAAATATAAAAATTAAGATCAAAACTGCTACATGGCATCAGTTACAGAATTCGCTTACACAATAGCTGCTGTGAAACTGATTCAATTTTCCACCAAGTTTCCAGTCATTCAAAAATAAAAACAAATGCAGCTCAATGGGACTCATGAACACAGTGGGGATTCATGATATCTTTCATTCATTTAGATCATTCTCATTCAAGCACGCATACATCAAAAAGACCACAGGCATCTCTAATTACAGTAGTTTCAATTCTGGGGGGAAAAAACAAAAAACAATCACCAAGCATAGAAAATAAATTCAGCGTTATCTTACAATCACACAGGATGTCTGCGCCTACTCTGCAACAACTTTCAAACAACACACAGCCAAATCATTCAGTCAAGAGCAGGCACGCGCAACCTTTTATCGCTCATCTACAAAAAGAATAAAAAAAGCTAAAAATTACAATAAACTTGCATAGCTGTGAAGAAGCATTAAAAAAAAAAAAAAAATCAATTCAGCAATTTAATATCAAGCTTACAATTAGCTTTGGAGAGAGAGCCCGTCGTAGTTTTACAAGTCTGTGATTTGGGAAGGATTGAGTCAATGTTAGTGTGGAGGAGGGCGGGGAAAAGTTCAGGCGTAAATGTGGCAGCTCCCACAAAATGGTGCAGCTATCCTCTGAGTCCTGCTCATTTTCTGAAAACTCTGAGAAAGTATGCATTTTGTGTTTTGTGAATGCGATGTGCGCTATTGTAGTGCCCAACCAGAGACTGGGTCGTGTTGTTTGAGCATGCTCACACTTTTATACTGTAATCTGAACATCGGACATTTTTCTCAAGTGGTCGTTGGTGCAGGTCTGCCCAGCAGGCGAGTGGTTGGGGATCTGGTCAGGTGCTGGTGTTGCAGGTTACGCTGACTGTGCATCAGTCAGACAGACAGGTAGATAGACAGGCAGGTGGGCTGTAATGGGACTCAGGAGCTGAGGCTAAATCAAGGGAGCCGTGTCCATCAAGCCTTTATTGGGGTCCAGGCTGGCGAAGAAGCGGACGTCCCGGTCCTTGTCGGACTGCAGAGTCATCACAGTCTCCTCCAGCTCGTCAGAGTAGGCACAGCCAGGGTCCTTGAAGTATGCTGTACACCGAACACAAGACTCGGTTAAAGTAAAGTGGTACGTGTAGTCTAAACATCAGCCTTGCTGTTCAAAGACAGCATCGATCATTTAGTTTGTTTGCAGTTTACCTTTCTCCATGACACTCTGCCGTAGAGCCTTGGCTACCAGTACGCGGACATTGGCCACAGGGTCTGAGGAGAGGCTGAGCAGGCTGGGCAAGAGGTGCTGGCTGAACTGCTCCATGGGCATGCAGTCCTCCTCCACTACGGCCTACGGAAAATACAAGAAAATGTTAAAACACACAGACAGGCTGGCATTAAAGACAGCAAGCCAAACTCCGGAAGAAAGAAGAGGTATTTGTCAGGCTGAACGTCTGACTCAGCAGAACAGATCAGAATCGTGTAATCAGACAGGGAAGCAGACAAACAGGCTGATGAACAAATAGTTTTCCACTACAGTATTACTGTAACACATTGCTGGAGTTAGTCACATTCATATCCGTCCTCAGGTTGTCTAACATGAACATTAGATAAACTTGACATTAAGAATTAAACATCAAGTCGCATCACTCTTAAGAAAATAATATTTTAACTTGATAGTTTTAATCCTTAAAAGTGTGAGAATATAAAAAGAAAAGTTCCGAGAACCATAAATGGGGTTAAAACTTGCTCTGCACTTTCGCTCCAGAGAATATTTAATTTTCCATTTCATTTCAACAGCAGCTCGGAGAATAATCAGATAAGCCATCAAAAAAGGTACACAGCTATCTCTGGACCTGAAGAACAGGTAGAGAGACAATGCACGAGCTGCCGTTTCACCATGTCGTGCCACGTAATGTGAGATAAGCACTACAGACCTGGCAGATGAAGGCAAAGGCCTGCCGACCCACCCACTTGGGACAGTGGCAGAACCTGACAGTGAGCTCGTTGATGAAGTTCAGGCCCAGATCATCAGCCCCACACGCATACAGCTTCTGGAGGATCTCTACAACCTGAGAGCACAAGAGGTGATGACAAACTTTGTTTTAAACTAGTTACAGTGTAAAAATGTGTATTCAGTTCAGGGACAGACACTGTCCACTGGAGTTGAGGAAGTCCGATAACAGAGGAACAGAATATGAGCAGAATAGATGATACGTTTTGAAAATAAGCTGTCGCTTATGTGCCACAGCATTCCTTGTGGTAACTTCCTGGAGTCTTGTCATATCACGTGTTAATTAATGAGCTTGTCTTGGCAAGAAAGGGAAGAGGATAAGAGGATTTTCCAAACTCTGGATCTATTTCAAACTTAGCAGGTGTACAAATACCCTCTAAGTGGCTACATAACTAGTCTCCTTACAGGACAGATAAGATGATCAAATACAACCACTGAACATCATCCATCAGTGAGACTCGTCTCAGATGTTCCAGTGTTTTTGCTGACATCGTAATGCCTGTGATACATTTTGTAACGCCAGATGTTTGCTAATAATCAACCCTCGTCACAAGTTGCCACTCTTTTCCTCTCCAGATGTTCCCTCCACCAGCAAATAAGCCCACATTTGACACTGTACACTCACCAGTTTGTAGGAGATCCACCTGACCTCTGAGACTTTGTCAGAGCAGAGAGTGAGCGCTATCTGTCTGAGGTAGTCATACACGTCGTAGTGGCTGTACAACTCTATGATCAAGATTAACTGCCTGGAGGGGGACAAAGAGAGAGAGGACACTTCAATCAGGCAAACGTTTCCGTAAGTATTAGTACAACACAGTAAATATAAACGGCTAAAATCAAATGAAGCGGATCGGAAATAGGATGTTAACCTTTTTGGTGATAGTGACAGTAAATTAACTGGAGAAATAACCCACATACAGTGTTACAAGAGCAGAATTCAGTCTATGAACCACACACTGTCAGTCTGGATAAAAGAATTACTTAAAACATACATACACTATATTACCTAAATAAACAAACAAAACCATCAGCAACAAGATTTCTATATAGTTCATCTTAATGATTAATGGGTCAGCTTCCCCCTGAAATCAATTAAATGAGGTGGTGGAAACACAACCGCTTTAGTCCACAAGGGCTGCCGGAATCAACACGAAATGAAAGGCTTTAAAATGTCAATGTAATTATTTCCCAATTGCAAGAGCAAAAGGAAACTTACTCTGCCAGCTCATATCTGAATCTCCAGTTGCGACTGTTGTCCGTCACCATGAACTCCTGCAGTTGGTACAGATATTCTCTCCTCTTGTCTGCGTGCAGCAGCTGCAACATGAAGACACACATGAACCAGCTTAGTTATTTAGTAATACTTGTAAAGCAATCAATCTAACCGAATTATTTTCTTTAACTGAGAACCAAAACTGCTGTAAAACAAATCTTACCGGAGTCCTTTTTTGTAATCTATCACAATAGTTTTGCTGAAATGTCCAAAACTGAAACCGACTAGCCTCCTGTTCTGTAATGCTTGGTTGGTTGGTTGGTATATAAATCTATAATCTCACCTTGAGGAAGTCGTAGAGGTGTTTGAGCACGCCGATGCGGACCTCGTCCAGGTCTTTGAGGAAACCGTTGAAGATGGGCACCAGATCAGCTGCTGTCAGCTGGTCTCCCAGAATAACTGCCAGTTCATGGATAGAGAAAGCCAGCGTACGCCGTACCTTCCACTGGGAGTGTGAAGGTAGGAGGAAAAGAAACACAAAAAGATTAACAGCTATGAACAAGTGCCTTGTAAAACACTTTTTTTTTAAACATACATTTATTGTTCATTCAGGTAAACTGTAAACTAAAACAATGTGACTGAGAAACCAGAAGCCTGCAGTGATGACACATTTCCGTAAGTCAAACCAGAAGTTAGCCCTCGTTCCTTCAACAAGAAGCTTATTGCAGAAAATAAGCTCTGTGTCAAACAAACGTTTATGGTACATTTTATTCAGCAAGATAATCTTGAAGCATAAAACCAGAATCCCCAGAAGTAAAAAGCGAACATTAGGATTTAAACAAACGACACCACAGTTGAATGACTTCAACATCACCACCACTTGACTTCCAACTTGTGATTCAACATTTGTGTTAGTTCACAGAGTGCGAGTATAAAGACAACGAGGCTGTAAACGTGGACTAGTCTACACGTTTGGCACGCTGATGTTTAATGTCACTGACATCCTCTGTAGTCTAAATTCACAGGTGGGGGTATTTACTGACACATTCTGTGTCATAGAACAAAACCTCTTCGCTCATGCTTGTGTTAACCACATTCTTTATGTCAGCCGTCTACCCGAGAACCCTTCAGAAAGCCCACTGATCTCGAGGCGAGGGAACCGGAAGTGCTGAAACACTTACTCAGCTTAAGGTTTTAGGACTCATTCCTGCAGCACACCGTCTGAATTTTCACCCTCTAGCGACCGGTCTGAATCCACAGTTATACAGTGCGACGCTGTCATGCTAACAGACACACTCAGCGCTGTGGTGAGATAATCTACATCAGCCTGGATGAGTGCTGCTGTCAGACTCTCTGCTGCTGTGAAGTGAAGCAACACTTCCCCTCTTCACCCTCCCTTTCTTTCTCACGCCCTCAAGGAACTCATTTGTACAACACGTGCTATGTTACATAGGTCAAGCAGAGGACAATACTAAAAAAAATAAAAATCATCATGCATGCGGCTGTGAATAGGGTTCTTATTTACAGTGTCCCTCGCTCACTTCCCTACCTAGCTATAAAAGTCCAGACACACACAGAAACAGTGCACTCGGTCAGCTGAGACTCAGGACAACATCAAACTGACACAAAGAATCTAACTAGGTATGTCCTTATACGATCTTAACGATTGGTATCGGCACCGATCAAGACATTTTTTCACAGATGTTGCAACATGTTGAGCTTTATTTATCTGAGCCGATCTTTTTTTTTTTCATCAGATGCCATACGGTTGATTTACTCTCAAAGCTTTCATGCATAATGCAGCCATCGTCAACTTTCTGGCTGCTTCTTTCCTCCAGTCTGCTCTCTCTCTCTCTGTGTGTGTGTGTGTGT